ACACCAGTAATAGAAGAGTACTGAGACATATTCATTAAAGTCTTTGAGATCCTTACAAGAAAAATACTATCCATATCATGGGAGAAATATCAGGGGATCATGGAACACAATGGACCTGAAAAAAAATTTAAGGAAATAAAGAACATTGTATGACAATTGCAGATTGCCAGCCCTCTGACTATTGGTTCACAATCATTAACCTGAACACAGCCTCATCTAACTGCCTGGGAAATGATTGTTGTGCATTAACCTTGAATCTGAGCTCATTTGGAAACAAAGTCTCAAGACACTAAGGAGAGAAAAAAAATATTCGCACAGTGCACAATACTTCAGTGTTAAAGACAAAACCAGCCTTTTTCCATAGGAGATGCATGAGAACAGGAGACAGAGGCTTTACAATGTGGCCCTGAGCTGTGAAGTACTATGGTATTCAGGTGCATTAAGGATGGATACGGTCACACCAGATGAGCTAATTAAAAGATGCTTTGGTTTAGGAAAACTGACACTCATTCATTAGCGTGTGAAGTCTACAGAACAATCAAAGTATAATGTGTATGATCTCCTCTTTGCCACTGGCTCCCGCCTGGTGGCACAGACAGATGAGAACAGTTTGTGTTTCATTTGTGTGTTTTTTGTTTGTGTGTGTGTGTGCGTGTGCGTGTGTGTGTGTGTGTTTCACAGCTTGTGCCAAACCTATTGCCAACTCAACAAATTCAACCACTCATAAACCTTATTGAAAGTAAGTTGAGTAGGTGCTTTCCTCCATCCCGACTTGAAGTGACTTTAGGCAAGTAATAAAACTATAAAAAAATAAAAAGCTAGGATATTAGAAATGCACTTTAATTTTTCTATTTTAATTGCTGAGTAGAATGATATTATTTCTTTATACTGTGAGAGAAGTATATTCTAGACAGTGGCTCCTTTATAAATTCTACTTTTATCTTTTCCTTTATTCTCTTTTTAATTATTTCTCCTATTATTGAACTATGAAGTTGAGTTTTAGGAGGCTGGGAAAGAAACATGGTTCTTTAGCAGACATTATAATACTAAAACCTCTTCAAAATATGATTTTTTCCCTAAAATTCTCAGTTTCCCTGCTACTTCCTGCCTGGTATTATAACAATTGTTTATTTAGTGTCTTCTATATCCAGGAATTACTGGTCTCTGTTGCTTTGTGCAAAGCTTTGCATATAGTAGGTGCTTAATAATCACTGCTTGACTGAATTAATGAATGAATGACACAAATATTGCTGCAGTCAGTAATGAATACTAGAAAATGAACTTCTAAAGCTGCTTAGTACTGTCTATAATTGGATTAGGCATTTTCTAACGGTTGGGGATATGAGAAGCATTACAAATTTATCCTTTGGCTCAGACATTTTCAAATTTTATTGAATGCAACTCAACATGTAAAATAGATTTTGCATTATGACCCATTACTTTCATACACACATACCTAAACACATGAATCTATATATATACACACACACACACACACACACACACACACACATATTAAAGCAATATAATTGGTTGGCAAAACTAGAAAATGACCTCTAATGAGTTATGCTCTATGTATAATTCCCTCCCCTTGTTAGGGGCAACTCTGTGAATTTGATATGATGCCATACCTTGATTACGTGACAGTATATGGGGAGGTTAATTTTTTTTCCAGCTGTAGAGTCTCTAACTCTTAATCAGTTGAATTCAAGTTAATCAAATGTAAGATTGTCCTGGTTAGACCTAACTAAGCATGTGATTCATTTGAAAAAGGGTTTAGAAGTCAGATACTTCAAGAAGTACCAAATCCTCTTCTACTGGCCTGAAAGAAAGTAGGCAACATTAGTTCTACATCAAGGAAATAAATTCTTCCACCAACCACATGACCTTGGAGTAAAAAGGGGTTCTGGACTCAATTCCAATGTGGGGAAATTTCCCCACACCACCAACCAACTGGGTATCCTATAATTCAACTCAATTCTGATTCTATTTACAGGAGACAACCTCCGACCCAGGGTACAGCCAGTCACAGACACCCAGATACCAGTCACAAGCTCAGGTTGTCATCTGGACTTCTGAGGAACTGGCTGCAAATTGGAGGTTCCCAGGACCCTTTGTTTAGACTTCAGATACCAGTCAAAAGTCCAGGTTATTATCTCAACCTCTGACCTAATGGCTATAAAGCAGTGTCCAATAACACCCTCCTTGGGTTTGCCTAACTTCCTACAGCACAGAACTCAAGCCATCCATTTACTCATTACTCTGTTGGTTATTTTAAAATCATATAACTCAGGAATAGGCAGAGAGAAGAGATGCCACAGGCAAAGTATGGGTAAAGGGCTAAGCATTTTGGTGCTCTCTACAGGTACACTTCTTTCCAGGAGTCTCCACCTGTCTACCACCAACCTGGAGGCTCTTAGAATGCAGGCATTTTGGATTTTTATGATGGCTTCATTGCTTAGGCATGGTTGATTAAATCACTGACCATTGGCAACTGATTCATCCTCCAGCAGCCATGCTGTCTCTGTAGGTCAGAGGTTTTTTGGAGAGAAACAAGAAGTTTGTGGAATTGGAATCAAAGCTCCAACCCTCAAATCACAGGGTTGTTTCTCCTGACAACCAGTTCCCAGCCCAAAAGTTACCTCCTTAACATAACAAATACATTTTTTGTCACAATTATGACTTAAGAAATTCCAAAGGTTTAGGAGCTGTGAGTCAGAGGCAAGAAGACCTAATATATATTTCTCATTAGAAATCACAGTACCACAGAAAAGAATCCCAACACTATGTATAAGATCAAGCATCCCCTGCTGCACCATTTCTGAAGCCAGTAAGATCCTGAAGAGAGGATCCAGCTAATCTGTGTCCCAACACTCAAACCACGGAAACTGAGATAATTATTGTTGTTTTAAGCCTCTAAGCTCACAATGATTTGATACATAGCAGAAGACTAATGAAATCTTAACCTTATTTTTCTTTTTTTAAAAGGGCTCTTCTTAGTCAACTAAATTGGTAGCATGTGAAATAAGTATTGGTAACAAACCACATTCTAAAACCACATTTAAAGCTATTTTTCCATGATGTCAGGATATATTTATCCATAGAGGTACATTCTTTTGAGTTAAAGAATTGTGGTTTTAGAAACTATGCTAAACATTAAAAGCCATTATCTTCAATTAACATTCTTAGTTATTAATTTATTTGCTTACTTTCTAAACATTTAATGCATGCCAACTATAGACCTAGTATGCATTTGGCATTGATTTACAGAGGTGAACAAAATATATATGATTCTTACCCTTCAGAATTTAAAGTCTGAGGGTTGGAGACAGACATAAATACAAAAGGTTAAAAAAATCAGAAACAACTAAGCATATAATTATAATTACTCAATAAATATTTATTAAGCCTTATTTCAACTACTGAATGTATATTTATTTGTAGGGTTAATCATGGGAGAAATATAGTCCATATTTAGAAGGGCTACAATATCTGGTGGAAAAATATAAGATTTGTAAATAAGTAATTATTCCATGATAATTATTTTCTTGGTATTAAAACAGTAAAAGATATAGCATAGAGCAGTGGGTTGGCAAACTCATTAGTCAACAGAGCCAAATATCAATAGTACAACAATTGAAATTTCTTTTGAGAGCCAAATTTTTTAAACTTAAACATCTTCTAGCGCCACTTTTTCAAAATAGACTCGCCCAGGCCATGGTATTTTGTGGAAGAGCCACACTCAAGGGGCCAAAGTGCTGTATGTGGCTCAAAAGTCACAGTTTGCCAACCATGGGCATAGAGTGTCAAACTCTACCCAGAGAATTCAGGGAGGGCTTCACAGCAGAGGTGTCATTTTATATGGAATATGTGGATGGGTTGGCCAAGTACCTCCATGTGTGGAAGAACTTTCTATTTAACCTTGTTATACTTCTTTAAGGACTATTTTGCTAAGAAATTTGAGTTTTGAAGCAATTAAAACTATTTAAGATTTTGTTAATAAAAAGAATAAAAACAGAAGTGTGATTGATATAAAACTATATCCCTGAAACACAAATTGAATTATATAAACTTGGACATAAACTTGGTACTATCAGCACCAACAGAATATAGATCAGTAACAAGTCAGTTAAGTTCTGCAGGGGTAGATGTAGGGAGAGACAGAGAATTAGTCCTAATAGTTTGTTTGTTCTCTAAGGAAGGACTGAAGTAGAAAACTTTAACCAAATGAAATGAAATGATAATAATTAACTGAGTAGCATAACTCCAAGCTGGGCTTTACATCTATAATAATAAAAGCATATTATGCTAATTACACCAGATGTCCTTCCAAATGTCCTTCTGGACAAAGCCAGGAATACGAGGGAAGCCGGTGCCAGCAGCAGGGGAAAGGAAGGCCTACTCTTGCACAAATTTTGTGCCTCGAACCTCTAGTAAAACATATAAAAGGACTGTCCTAAATCAAACATTCACACTCACCTTTATGGAACAATAGAGGCCCAGTGCATCAATTCATGCACCAATGGGCTCCCTTGGCCTGGCCTGAGTGATCAGGCTGAAACCAGCTCTCCGACATCCCCTAAAAAGTCCCAGATTTCGAGAAGACATAGTCCAGGACCCAATTAGTGCATGATCAGGGCTGGGGAGGGATGTGGAAGGTTGGCCAGCAGGGAAGAGAATGCAGAAGGGCTCCATGACTGGACCCCAGCAGCACACTAACCTACCAGTTGGAGTATCTGTCTCCTGGTGGTCAGTGCACATTATAGCAGCTGGCCGACCTGTTGACTGTCTGCCTCCTGGTGGTCAGTGAACATCATAGTGAGTTGGTTGAGCATATCTATACTATTAGCATATCATTAGCATATTATACTTTGATTGGTTGAATGGCCGATGGAATAACCAGACATTTAGATTATTAGGCTTTTATTATATAGGATGCTTCTCTACAGCCCAGTCTGGATGGGTCCGTCTATAATAATAAAAGCATAATATAGACTAATCAGACTGGTCATCCTTCTGGACATCCTTCAGGATGAAGCCAGGGCTGCAAGAGAAGTCAGGGTCCCAGGCTCCTGCTGGCAGCTGGAGGGAAGACCAGGGTCCCGGGTACCAGAGAGAAGGCGGTGCCAGCAGCCGGGGGAAAGAAGGCCTACTCTTGCATGCATTTTGTGCATTGGGCCTGTAGTTTACTGATAAAAGAGAAACACCCTTCTCTATGCTCTACTATTTTTAACACAGCAAATGCTAGAAAATGAGTAACCACAGAAATAAGGCCAAATGAACATCAGGCAACTTAAACAATTTACTCATAGGGATCTGATTCTTAGGTCCTTTTAGAGACCATTTATCCTGTCTTAAACATAATTCTCATAAGCTATCTCATTTGCTTTCCTAACCTAGGAAAAGTTAGAAGCACTTCATTGTGCCTTTCAAACAATGTTACTGTCAGCTTTCAAAGACTTTGCATTTTATTCTATAAAAAAGAAGAAAGAATCTTTGATGTGGGAAAAAAATTAGCTTTATCTATGCTTCAGAGAAAAAGTCTAAAAAGAAAAAAAGTCAGTGTCTCTTGCGAATGCATTTAATGATTTATTTCCAATAAACAGAAAAATATTAACTAGTTGTTTTGCATTTGGTGAGGGCATTGTTTTCCCGGTTGTACTCTGCTCCTTTGCAACAGAAAACGGAATCTCATGAAGAATGTTATAATCATGCTCACCTCCAGAAATAATAATTTTTTAAGTTATTATGTTTGGCCAAGTTTTAATATTTAGAGAAGATTTTATGTCTATCTTATTGATTTTTTTTTAAAGGACTATATTTTTAGAAAAGGTAGAATACCAGTTCAAAGGAATCACAGAGTAAATCATCATTAGCATCATAAAAATAGCCCTGTTTAAAGCGTTTAAAGCTTAACTGGGGTTCCAGTTTCTCCCGTAGACTAAAGGTAACTCTAAAAAAAGAACAGCTGGATGCTATAGGCTTCAAGTATAATGACCGCTATCATTCAAACAAGTTAGAAAGCATTGGCAGCTATTTTAGACCTCTAGCATACCAATGTCCAGAATTTTGACCTTGATCAAAGATATGTAGCTAAACCTACAATTATTTTTTTATTACAATAATTCCCAGTTGCTGATGGTCTCAGGATCATGCTTCATTTGATTTTTTAAGCAGATTTTAACTATTAAGATTTGTAAATATAGCTTATGAAGAAAAACGAAAGCACCGATATTTCAATTTAAGTGTCCTAGCCATATAAAATTAATTATGCAGACCATATTAATCTATTTCACTATATTGTTTTCATAATAAACAAAATTTGTATATCTTATTCTGAATTCAAATAAATGTAGGCCATGTAAAAATGCTTATAGGAAAATTTTCTCCCTTAAGTCTTTAAGCTAAGTGCATGGACCAAGGCAAAACGGTACAACTAGAGCCAAAGATTTTATTGTAACTCAACATGAAACTAGTGTAACTTTGTTTTAGTGAAAGGAGATATAAGGACTTGAAAGAAAAAGAGATGTTTTATATACCTTTAATATACCTTTTATATACCTTTATATACCTGAGTTTGTCTTTTTCATTTAAATTATATATTAGATTTGTTCATTAATCAAAACTTACAGAGCATCCAAAGTTTAGGTGAAAAAAACAAATAAATAAGAAGAAAAAAAACCTGAAAGGTGGGTATACACATAGTAGTGGTGGGTCTCTCTCCAAGAAAGAGTCTATACTCTGCCTTTAGAGTAGATTTTTTAAAATCTTCATCTGAAGATATGTTTTAGAGAGAGGAAGGGAGGGGAGGGATGAAGGGAGGAGGAGGGAGAAAGAGAAAGGAAGAGAGAAAGGAGAGGTAGGAGGGGAGGGGAGGAGAGGAGAGATAAGGGGGAGAGGGAAAGGGAGAGAAAGAAGGTAAGGGAAAGGGAAAGAGGAAGGGAGATAGAGGGCAAAGGGAGGGAGGGAAGAAGGAGGGAGGGAGATAGGGAGGGAGAAGGAGGGAGAGAGGGAGAGAGAGAGAGTGCAAGCGCATGTGAAAGAGAAATATTGATTGTTTGCCTCCTGTATGCACCACTGCTGGGGGAGGGAACTGCAACCTAGGTATGTGTCCTGACTTGAACTGGCAACCTTCTTTGGTGGATGGAATAATGCTCCAACCAACTGAGTCATCCGATTACGGCTATAATACATTACTTGTATAAAGATGAGTAATTTGTGATTTTTTTTTCATGATGAGGATCAAGTAAAATTGGTAGTTTGTTTATGATATTTTGTTACATTTTTTGCTATAGTGTTCTGAGAAATTAAGTTTTTTCTCACTGGAAAATTTACTTTGGGACAGTTGGAAGAAACAGTGCCTCAGGCATCATGGTAGTCCTGCCCTCATTGAACATATAGATCTATTATACTACCAGCTAAAGAAGTTGTATGAGATTGTCCAGTACTAAAATTTTCTTGTGCTTTAATTTTTACCCCATGAAAAAAGATTATATTACTTATTTGAGATTGTTGTTTGGAGGATTAAATAGAATACTATTTGTACTGAATTTAGCACAGAGCATGGCACATGTAATTACTTTATAAAGACTGTTTATTCTTAGTGATAGTTTTTATGACCTCAAGTACTCTACAATTAGTAAGGAAACCAGGCACTACAGTGAACAGTGGGTAGCAACACTTGTACATTTAATCAAAATGAATCCAAACATATATCAAAAGAGATCTTTTTTTTTAATTCTATCTCTTCCCCTTCCTCTTTTACAATAGATTTTAGATCTTAATTGGTACAGCCATTATGGAAAATAATATGGAGTTTCCTCACAAAATAAAGAATTGAGCTAACATATGACCCAATGACCTCTCTTCTGGGTCCTATCCAAAAAATTTGAAAACACTTATTTGTAAAGATGCTTGAGTACATTAGAAAATGAGGGGATTATGCCATCAGAATATTGCTGAAAACTTTCAGGCAAAGTCTGCTAGAGTCAGAGGTGCTCCAGCTCACAGGGAGAAGCCAGACTACCTTTGTGACTGTTTGCTAATAAGTGTTTGCATGAGTTGCAAAATTTGTTCCAGGCATGTAATAGGTGTCCAATAATATTTGTGGAGTAAACAAATTGCCATAGGAAATAGAAAGAAGAAAAAACACACACATACACACTACTATTTTTCATTTGCAAAAGAGGAAATGTAGCTGGACTGGAAATTGAACACCCAGTAAAATTTATTTACTAAGTGGGCTTCTAACACAATGGGAAACCCAGCATGGATAGCAAGCTAGCTGGATTGGTAGAGAAATAAATAAACACTTTCACTGTTGCTTATGTCCGTTTATAATGGTGAAAGGGCTCATGTACCTCCTCCTTCCATTCCTAACCTCTTCTTAAAATTGGGCATAATGCACTCTCTGGTGGCACATTCCAGGGGACACCAAGTTAAGTATCTCCCTTGAGCCCAATTACATCCTCTTTCAAATAGGAGCCCTGCTATTCTCACAAAGTCACAGCCTCGCGAGGAATAGCAGCTGCAGCAGCAGCTGTGATGCTGAATAGAACCTTAAGTAAGTAGCCTAGAAGACCAGTGAACAATGAGTGATAATAAACCAACTACAATTAGTAATAAAAGCCTTAAAATAACTGTACTCATGAGATAGTACTGGTCATATCCTTGCTGTGTTCTGAAAATAATAGAATCTTTTTTTTTTCTCCCACCAGTGTAACTACAATGGTAATTAAAAGCTGATTTAGGATCAAAGGCAATCTCAAGGTTATAAATGTAAGTAGCTGGCTCTGAAAGTTTAGGTATTTTGCACATGGCATCTCTTCATCTTAAAAAAAAAAGAAGTGGGGTGAGAGTTTTGAAGAAAGCTTCAATAAATGAGCTAAGTGAGATGACATATGAAGTAAATCACTCATTCAATACAAAATATTTTTCATTTCTAAATCATGGGGGGGGTGGGGGATGGAGAGTCCTGGCTAAGGTGGCTAAGTTAACTGAGTGTCATCCCATGCACTGAGAGGTTGCTTGCTCAATTCCCTGTCTGGGCACATGCCCAGGTTGCATTCTTGATCCCCAGTAGGGGGCATGCAGGAGGCAGCGGATTGATGATTCTTATCATTGATGTTTCTCTCTTCCTCTCTTTTCCTCTCTGTAATCAATAAAAACATATTGTATTTTATAAAAATAAAACATTTGGGGGAGAAAGGACACAACGTAGCATGGCTGATTATGAAGAGGGAACAATTTTATTACTAAACACCGTGATATAAGATGTGAAAGGAAGTGGGAAATGGTGGTGAATAATGTAGGCAAAAGTAGTTGGATAATGCTAAATGGAAGAGACAGCATTTGGTTAAACCCAGAAAGTCTCTACCTCTTGCTGTGTGATATAAATATCTATCTATTTTTGCAGTTTTCTCTTTGTTTCATCATCATTTCCTTTCCCAGATTTAAAAATTGTTTACTTGAAGAAATCATCATGTCTAGATACAAACACAAAACCATAGGGGTGAGAATGTATTAAAATCATGGAAGAGCAATGTTAAAAAAATGTTATGTTATTTCAGAGCTTTGGAATTAGCATAATATTAAATTAACAGGGCGTTCCCAAGGAAAGCATATGTAACCCCATGTAGATAGTACTAGAAACAGAGACCAAAACACAGACAGATTTGTCCTCACAGAGTTCAAAGCTCAGGTGGACAGCCAGACATTAATCCACTAATGCCACACATCCCACATTTAGTGACAACAATGTTCACAAGGAAGTCTAGGAGGCCACAGATTCATCTAGTCCAGAGAAGATGCTTAGGCTGACATAGAGCAAACCCCTGAGCTAACCAGGTGAAGGGGCCATGAGGATGGAGAGGGGTAGTGATATCTGCCTTTACAGAAAGAGTTCCATGGCTACAGGTGGCGTGGCATATACAAGGGACTTACAAAAAAATTGTTTTTTTTTCCTACAAGGAAGGTATTTTGAAAATGTGACTGTTGTGTTAGTTAAGCAGAAAAGGGAAATCTCTGACATGAGTATTTTCTTCTTCCTGTGTGCTGCCAGATCCTTTTGTGAGTTGAGACATGGCCTCAGAATTCTATACCTTGCACTCCAGGAATCCACAGTGCAAATAGCAGCATACTTATTAGCCCTATCATAGAGGAAAGAAACAAGTCTTTATTAATTTGTA